GTGTGTGTGTGTGTGTGCGTGCGTGCGTGCGTGCGTGCGTGCGTGCGTGCGTGCGTGCGTGCGTGCGTGTGTATTTCTGCTTTTGCCCCATCCCTCCCTGGTTTTTGAATTATGCAAGATTGCTCTGAACAGATCCATTTTCAATCCGGCTCTGTGGAAAAAACAGAGATGTTTTTTATTTGTGTTCAGATATTATCCCTGATGTTGCTGCAGTAACTGCCACTGTGCAGAGAGAACATTAAATTCAGAGTTGGTTGTATAGGTGGTGCATCTATGTGTGTGTGTGTGTGTCGTCCCATTCATCTTTCAGTGAGTCCACTCCCCTCTGCCTCTTTCTCTCTGATCCCCCACCCCCCCCCCCCCTCTCTCTCTCTGTCCACCCCGAGTTGGACGCCTGCCTCCAGCATCTGGAGCAGATCGTGACCCTGCGGTGTGCCAGGTAGCAGGACATTAACAGCCAAGGCCTTATTGTCAACTGTTGAGCTGTCAGAGCACACACCCCTCGCCCCCGTGTGTGATATCAGCCTGCCTCCATCCACCGTCGAGCACACACACTCGGTCCCCGCGGAGCGCTCTTCCACTTTAGCTCAAATATAAATCAGAGGGCTGCTGGAAAAAACGGGAACAAAGAGTCGGGGAAAAAAATGCGATGTTAATGCCCATAAAGCGAGAGCCGAGGAAGCACGTCGTCGGTTTGAAAACCCTCCGTGTGGATGGGATCTATTTGTTTTGTCATAAAAGACTAAATGTCCTGTCTTGTGATTTAATCACAAGGACACAGTAATATTGTTTTGACAACAAAAGCTGTTCCTCACAGTTCTTAGCAGGAACACTTGTGCAGAGCAGAGACTAATAGAGCAGTTTCAGTCATGGACATCCACAATAAAACCCCTGATATTTCTTTTCTTGTTTTGTTTTCTGTATGGAGAGCTGTTGGTGCCTTCCTGTAACTGTTTTTTTCTCAGTTATCTTTTTTTTGAGATAATGATGACATTGGGATGAATACTGAATAAAAGCTCGGTGCCTAATATTGAATTCAATGCTGCTGCTGTAGCTCTAAGCATTGAAGTCTCCACATGAATTAGAGTTGCGTGTCGTCTTATCAAGGAAACCTTATCGACTTTATGACTACATGTGGACCATATCCATGTTGAGTTCTGGTCCAGAGGAGACTTAATTTTTCTCTTGCAGATGTGTAGCTGCAAACAAAGCCTTGCGTATCTTTGTATCATTGTGTTGCTTTATCTCACAGCTGCAGGCTTTTGACAGTGTGTGGTGCCTTCTGTTCCTTTTGATTTTCCACTCATTTGTTAACGAAACATGTTTCCCATTTACTGCCGCAAAGTGAAAAATGTAGTAGTCATTAAGTATTCATTATCTGCGCAATTTGTTTCTTCTTCATGCACTTCTAGCCCGGAGAATATTCTGCATAGGTAACCTGCATTTGGAATATTGACAGATTCAAGAAGGCAACCCCCTGTGCTGTTCAGTGTTACAATATGTATTAAGTCACCAAAAAATGTCACAGCCAGTCAATCTGCTCCTCATCTTTGAAATATTCCTCTTATATTTCATTATGCAGGATCATTTCATTATCACAGGATGCACGATGGTCATTGGTCCTTTCTTTATCGGGGAGTTGGCAGCCGCAGAAGACTCAGCACCTCTTTACAAGTGGAGACCTTCCTCTTAACTCCTGACCTGAGCTGAAAGCGAGGTGTGAATATGCTCTCATTAATCTCACCTCTCACAGTAAAAGGTCCGAGCCCCGAGGCTCCCTGAGAATTCATCTAAATAGCTCGTTGTCTTTGAAGTAAACACAAATGTCTCCAATAACAATGTGGCACACTGCAGGATGCCTAGAGACCAGAGTTTGCTCACTTATCAATGTCTCTGATATGTTGTCCTGCTGTTTCTATGGAAACCAAGTCGGCCTTATTAAAAAAAAAAAAAAGTTTCACCTTCTGCGTCTGCCCTTTACCTGACAGCCAAGATAAACGAGCAGGGTCCTGGGAGGAAGGCAACACAAACATGCATCTCTGCTCAGTGGCCCGTGCTCATTGGCTCTCCGCTGGAAGCCCTTATTTACCTTAATGCTGGGAGGTGGTGAAACTGGGGGGGGAGGGAGGCTTGAGGAGGAGTAGCCGCTGAGACTGAGTGTATGCATGTGTGTGTGTGTGAGAAGGGAAATTGTGATTACTCACAATACCTCCCATCAACAACCTTGAACCGTGCCGCAATAAAAAAAGAAGAAAAAAGGAGCAAACAACTCTTTCTGGCCCTCGTAATGCACGCGGGCCAGATGATGTCATATGTCACCTTCAGCTAATGAAGGTGATGATGACATGCATGAGCGCCGCATACGTTCACCATCTGCTCGGTTCCACCACGCTGGAGCTGCTCCCCCACAATGCTGCCGAGAGGAGTCCAGGCACGTCCCAACCACAGTACGAATGTCCCTAGACGCGCGTGAAAGACCGCCGCCTGCATCCAGATGACTCACAGCGAGTTTTAATCATACCTCCGCTTCACAAGCTGCTAAAGTGACTAGTCTCTGAGGCCACTTGCTTTATATCACCAGAGCTCCCAGTACCCGACGGCTGATGCGACAGAAAAATCCCTGACTCGTAACTCATCACAACACGGGCTAATGTTGATTTTAATAAATAATGTGGATTTATCTACATGGAGTTACAATCGATTTTTCTCTTGTTTGGTTGAAGCAGCACAGCAAGGCGGCAAAATGCATTCCTGGGAAGATGTGAGCATATTTTAAATTATAAAGAGTTAAAAGACACAATGAAGAGAAACAGGAAACTAATGGCTCATCGGAAATCACAGAAATGACAGATTTATGTTCTGTAACTTATCTTTGTTACTCTCCACTGGGGAATGACGTTTTTGCAGTCAGAGTAGATTTAACAGGTAGTGATGAAAGCGATGTGTTTACGTCAACTTGATGATTATGATCAGAAAATGATTCTCCATCATGTTAGTGAAGAAGTCCGAAAATGCATTTGACTATGTGCCCCTGCATCCTATTGTGTCACAAAGTCAAAAGATTATGCTTTTCAGAACCTGTGGTTACACAAAGTCAGAGCTGAAACAATTAGCCACTGAGCCGATGGGAAATGTATCAGTAACTGCTAATATTCAGTCAGTTAACTTAAATACTTTTAAAGCAAGGTTCTTTGGGGAATGTGTGTTTTTCTGTACGTATCTGGGTTTTTGAGTTGGTGGGACAAACACAACTCATCCTGTCATCTTGAGTTGGGCAATTTTTTTCTGCCATTTCATCGACCAAAGGATTCATTGATTCATCAAGAAAATAATTGATTCATCAATAATCCAGATAGTCTAAACCGAGTGATTTATATAACACAGGTTTTGCTGACTTGTCAGGAATTCTGTTTAATTTTGAGAAGTGACAAATTACAGACAAATTGATTGGCTTTGTTTTCCCTGTGTTTGTTCCACATGTTCCTGTATTCTCTTGTTAAATAATCTGTAACACAGCAATTACAGAGTAGATGTCAGATACAAACTCCTGCAGGTGACGTTTGTCCTTTAGCCTTTCTGTTGTTTTATTCCCTGCTTGTGTTAATATGAGTTTTCCAGATTGATCGTGTTGTGAGGCCAGAACCACTTTGCTTTAGCTGCAGGTTATGAAAGTAGAAATTGACAGGTGCTTGACTTCAGCTGTTGAGCAGAGTGTAGAAAAGTGAGCGCTGGTGACTGGAGATGATCTTTAGATAACAGCAGATGACCTTTGAGAGAAGCTGAAACTATCAGTCTCTGCGGGGGCTACTCTCTTCCTCTTGTCATGTCTTGACACTTATATTTTTCTTCCCTTCTCTCTCTCAGTCTTTTCCATCTCCTCTCTTTCTCTCTCTCTGTGTCTGGTGAGTGGAGTTTCTGTGAGTTGGCAGCCTGTATCTGATCCTGAGGTAATTTACTGGGAGCGATAAGGAAGTGGTGCACACAGTCTTTCGTTATAGTCCTTTCTGACAGGGCAATCTGAAGCCTATAGAGACTAAATTGGAGGAAAATTTTGAATCCAGATAGAAGGGAACCGCGCGAGGTTATTATAATACAAATTCAACAAACTGAGATTGAGTGGGGAAACAATCACCGGTGACTGCTCGTTTAATTTTTTACTGACGCCACTTTCCCTTTGACTTAAGCAGCGGAGAGTAATTGTATAAGTGAAGGGTAGCGTGGTCTATTTTATCGTTTGGTAATGAGCAGGTGGAGACCCTGGCCGTGGTAAGAAATTAGTGCTCATTTGCACAATTTTGATTGTCTGCTTAATTCTGATTTATAATTGTGTTGTTGACCATATGGCACATTTTGTATTTCTGAGAAAGAGTTCGACTCCTTTGCCTTTGCCAATTCAAGCTGAAATCAGCATACATGTGCTTATAATATGCAGTACATGTGTTTACACGTGTGTGTGTGTCGAGTCCGGTTTTGCCCAGCAGAGGTTTTTGTTTTTCTCGCAGGCCAGGGTCATTGCCTCAGGGGTGTCGTAGAGAAATGCCTCTCTGCTGTGGGTGAGAAGAAATATGAAGGAGACCCTAAATCAAGACGCAGAGCCCCATGAATCATGTCAGCAGCCGGGCTGAAGAAGAGGGATGGGACCATCTGTAGCAGCATATGAATGGCTAGCTGACTCACAGCGCTGTTGACACAAGCTGAAGAAGTGTGAAGAGGTTGTGAAGATTAGCGCTGCTGCTCCCTGCATCACCCGAAAACCCGCTGCAGTCAAAAATGAGCAAACCCAAATACGATGCACGCTCCATTCGTCACTCTGACGTTTTACAGAATTGCACGGAGGGGGGATGTTTTTTTTTCTGTGTTATAAAATAAGAGGAATTCTCATTACAACACATCTGTAACACTTGAATTCATGCTGGATGAATTCTTCTTGAAATTTCTCATTTTTTCCCACAGTTAAAGGTTTTTTTTTTGTCTTGAGGGAGCAGCTACGGACACATGAGACGCTGCACAGGTTGATTTAGAAGGTCTGTTGGCTCAGAGCTGTAAAACTCTTCAGTGACATGTGGTACTCGCTTCCTTTGTGATCTGGATTGCAGTTTTGACAAAGGCTGTGTCTGAAATGACTCACCACTCACTTTATAGTCCACTATAGAGTGAGTTTGCCTTTTTGTAGTGGTTTTCATACCGTATATCAGGCGTGAGACACAAAGGAGGGGTCGTGAAGTAATTTCCATAATCAAACATTATTCAAAACCAAATAAAATAACATGTTTCTGCCATAACTGTTAAAAAACATAATAAAATAGTGGTTCAATTTCAGATAAAAGCATACAAATAGAAATATTTCATCAACCTTGTGTTTTCCTTTGTCCCCACATGACCCCTGAGCTGATTTTGATAGGAAGTTTTTTCTTTTTGGTCCTGAGTCTGTGGTGCGGAGATTTTGGGAGAAAAAGTTTGGGAATCATTATGGACTCATTCTATCCCACAATGCATCATAAAAAGAAGTGTTCAACTGATGGTCACAAACAGAGCAATACGCCATCATGCATTGTGCTTGACAGACCAGAGGAGAACGTAGGATACTGTCTGATGTGAAAACGAAATTATACAACGTCTAAATACAAAGCCACAGATGTGACCCAGTAGAAACAACAGGGAAGACTTGACTGAAAGTTGTTTATCTTTGTATACGCTCAATGTTATTTGTGCAGACTGACTGGGGACATTGTGACCTCGTCCTTTACATGGACGTCATCACATAGTCTTCAAGGTTTTGTTTGGAGCCGAACTGATGGGTCAATTCATTGATTGGTTGAGCAACAGGAATTTAGTGGGTTACTACTTTGATAACAAATGAATCATTTCTGTTTTTCCAGCCCCACAACCAAGGACTCAGTGGTTTCACATCTTTGACAGTAAACTGAATATTCTTTGGTTTTAAATGGTACGTGACCTCTTTTACTCTGTTAAATGTGGACATCTGATTAATCAATACTGATAATAATAGTGAAATAGCTAAAGGATTGGGTTTCACATTTGTTAATATAGTTTTAATAATTATAATAAAATTCAGTTGTGGTCAGGTTTATGCAGGGTGAGGATTAATTGTCACTGTGAAGCCAATGATTTGCCCTCTAATATGAAATAACAACGATGGAGTTGTTTTGACATTTAAATTTCACTCACACTGCGATGTCGTAAAAGAACCTTGTGGCAGCGGTAAATTAGTCTCTTTGAGGAAGCACTGAATCTTAATCGCTACGCCCGGCGCCGATGGCATGTTGTTAAAGCGCAGTAACGGGACAGATGATAATCACAAAACTTCACGGCTGACCCAGAGGGCTCGCATTCTAAAAATGACACCGAGCAGATTAACCCGTTGCTCCACTCGCGTACAATCCCTCCACGCTGGTGGTGGTATTTATGAAGAGGGGCAGTTGATTTCAAGCAGGTATTTGTTCATGTGAGGATGTTGTGGAGCAGGGTCATCGTCAGTAGATACTTTATTATGATCTCCAGAGTGGGCAGAGTAGCTCTATGGCCGACAGTGGAAAGTGAATTACAATATTCAACAAGGATGCACATTATGGTTTGTGCTAATAACCGATCAGCCCGATTTGTGGACTTTAGATGTCATACAACTTAAATCCTTTACTTCCTCAAGAAGTGCAAACACATCATCCAAAATAGCCTGGGCTCTTTGTTGAATATGCTCATGCCGAATTAGTCAATGGGAGGCAACTGTACTGGTTTGTGTGCTTTTCAAGCACACAACGTCTCATCGGTATTTCAACTGTTATATGTTTGTTGTTTCATGAAAAGAGAAAATGAATGCACCGCAGCTGTGAGCACAGCATCCAGAAATGCTGCTGTTTGTTTAACGTTTCCTTAATTACGAAAAGGAAGCTAAACTGTGTCCGCTGCCTGAGGGGGAAACATATTGACAGATCTAGCATCAAACAGAGAGAGATGGAGAGACGGGTGTAGCCGTGGTGGACCTCGGGGGGGGGGGGGGGTATTAAGAGNCGAAAAGGAAGCTAAACTGTGTCCGCTGCCTGAGGGGGAAACATATTGACAGATCTAGCATCAAACAGAGAGAGATGGAGAGACGGGTGTAGCCGGGGGGGGGGGGGGGGGGGGGGGGTGGTATTAAGAGCTGCAGTGAGAGGTACAAGAGGTGTGGCTGTGCAGCTGTATTATTCTTCTGCGATTGACCGTGCAGAGATGAGTTTGGGGAGATACTGCGTGGAAACATAAACACAGACAGATAAGGGCATCAGAGAGCGGAGGGAGGGATGCTATGTGATCAGTCAACTATAAAATTGATTTAGACTGAGCAGTTTCTCTGTCTCTGGAGAAAGATCGGTTATAAGACATGGAAGGAAAATGTTAAACAATCTGTGTTTTATCTCTTTCATTCTCAGCTCTTTCAGTGGAGCCATACAAACACTAAATCTATCAGGTTCTACTTTATTAGCTTCACCCAGTTTAAGTTAATCCTGCTTTCATTGCTGTTATAATCTGTGATAAGAAATATGGGGTAACCTTATCTTAACAAAGGGTTTTTATTTACTTTACATCTGAATCTAAAAGAACAATCTGATCAAACACAGTCCTGGTGGCTTTTATCAGACATCAGCGTTTGTGATATAACAGTTAACAGATGTGGAAGTCATGTATTGAAAATATAAACTGTATTTAAAAATGGACGTCTGACTGCTCCCCAAAAGTGAAGCCAAAGCATCTTGATCGTATATG